CAAGTAGAGTTGTCTCCATTTTCCCCCACCGCTACCTCCCACCCTCAGTCCTACCCTTCTTTGGCTTTGTCCAGGGGTCCTTTACACATGTTCCTTGATGACCCTTCCCCTTCTTTCCCCGTTATCCCCCTCCTTCCTCCTCTGTGGTTACTGTCAGTTTGTTCTTTATTACAGTGTCTCTGATTATATTTTGCTTGCTTCTTTGTTTTGTCGATTAGGTTCCACTTAGAGGTAAGATCATATGGTATTTGTCTTTCACCACCTGGCTTATTTCACTTAGCATAATGCTTTCCAGTTCTACCCATACTATCACAAAGGGTAGAAGCTCCTTCTTTCTCTCTGCTGCATAGTATTCCATTGTGTAAATGTACCACAGTTTTTTGATCCACTCATTTACTGATGGTCACTTAGGTTGCTTCCAACACTTGGCTACTGTAAATTGTGCTGCTATGAACATTGGGGTGCATAGGTTCTTTTGAATTGGTGTTTCAGAATTCTTAGGGTATAATCCCAGCAGTGGAAGAGACACATTTTTTAAATTATCATTTCTACAGAGAGGAAGGTAGGGAGAAAGGGAGGGAGAGAAACATTGCTCGGTGGCCTCTCATATGTGCCTCAACCGGCAACAAAGCCCACAACCCAGGCATGTGCCCTGACCAGGAATTGAACCAACGACCTTTCACTTTGCAGGACAATGCCCAACCAACTGAACCAGGGCATGAAGGGACACATTTTAATAGATGTTCACCAGAAAGCTGTTGAACTATTATTATTACCGTGTTTCTGAACATCTAGGTTCAAGGTTTATTATTTTCTTCCAAGTCCAATCCATTGTCAAGGACTCTTAATTACAACCTACCTAATTCTGATAATACCACCCATGCTTTGGAAATGTTCTTTGAGCATGAAAAGGATAAATAATTTGTAACTAACATTTCTTAAGCTTTTACTATGTGGTATTGAATGAAATGCTTTGTCTCATTTAACCTTCACAGTAATTCATGAGAGTAGTACTGTTATTTTCCTATTTTTAGAGATATAGGAACTAATGTTAAAAAATTAATTTGCCCAAGAATGCATAGCTAATGGAGGTAGGATTTGAATCCTATTAAGTCTGACTCCAAAGTTCATGCTCTTATCTTCTATAATTCCTTGTGGAGATTTTTTAATGTGTCATATGGGCTGAATCACCTAGTATGTGATTCACCCATTCATCCATTCATGAATTATTTATTCACTTATTCAGCAACTTTTTTTGAACATTCACTGTATATATGTTGCCAGGTGCTGTGAAAATCCAAAGCTTAGCCAAATAGAAATCATTCCCTCAAGGACCATGTCTACCAAGGAAGATGCCATACATAGAAATAACTGTAACATGAGGTCTACAGCGATACGAGCTGTGAAGCAGATTCCCATTTCAAAACACTATTGGCGTTCAGAAAAGGGAGAGAATTTAGAAGGTGTTACTTCCTTTGAACTTGATAGATGGGAAGGAATTAAACATGAGACAACAAGAAACTAGAGAGTCTTACGAGTATTTCAGGCAGAGAGAGTATGTAGAAACAAAGACCCAGAAGGGAAAGTTAGAAAAATGGTGCCATGGAAAGCAAGAGGAGGATTTCAAGAAATGTTAGCTGTGGATATGTTGTTTGTCCTTATCACCGACCAGAACATGTGCCTCCGTTTCATTGCACTGTCAGCCTCTTCTGCATGTCCATGTGTTCTCCTTCCTCCATCCAGCACCTCTTCACATGTGGGTGCTCACGTGTCTGTTTACGGAAGGAGAGGCTAAGAAGAAATCTGTTGCTTCGGGAAGCTTGTATTGGGATCTTATTATGTCCCCCAAACTGTTAGGTGGTAAGAGTATTTTTAAAAATATGTCATTTTTTGAAACTGCTTTATGACCCAGCAGTTCCTCTTCTGGGAATATATCTGAAGACACCCAAAACACTAATTTGACAGAATATATGCACCCCTATGTTCATCGTAACATTATTTACAGTAGCCAAGATTTGGAAGCAGCCCGAGTGCCCATCAGTAGAGGAGTGGATAAAACAGCTGTGGTACCTTTACACAATGGAATACTACTTGGCTGTAAAAAAAAAGAAAATTTTAACCTTTGCAACAGCATGAATGGACCTAGAGAATATTATGCTAAGTAAAATAAGCCAGTCTTGCCCTGGCTGGTGTGGCTCAGTGGATTGAGCACAGGCTGCTAACCAAAGGGTTGCCAGTTCAATTCCCAGTCAGGGCACATGCCTGGGTTGCAGTCAGGTCCCCAGTAGGGGATGCATGACAGGCAAACATACATTGATATTTCTCTCCCTTTCTTTCTCCTTCCTTTCCTCCTCTCTAAAAATAAATAAATAAAATCTTTTTAAAAAATAAGTGAGTCAGAGAAAGACAAGTACCGTATGATTTTACTGAGTGGAATCTAATGAACAAAATGAACTACCAAGCAAAATTGAGACAGACTCATAGACAGAGAGCAGGCTGACAGCTGTGGTGGGTTTGGGAGGCTGGGGGTGGCAGGATTGAGCAAAAAAAGAAAAGAAAAGAGAAAGAACTCATAGACACAGACAACAGTGTGATGATTGCCTGCAGGGGGGCTGGGGATACTGGGCTGAGGTGGCAGAGGATATGGGGGCATAAATGGTGATGGGCGGAGACGTGACTTGGGGTGGCGAACACGCAATACAGTGTACGCATGATGTGTTGTAGAAGTGGGCTTCTGAAACCTGTATAATTCTGTTAATCAGGATCACCCCAATAAATTCAATAAAAAGGAGAAAATAAAAATAATTTGCTATTTTTGCCTAAGGATATCTGAGTTAACTAAAGTAGACAAATATGTAAATAAGATAAGGGGTTGCAAAGTGTAATGCCTTCTATGATTGAGCCGTGATTAGACATAGAAGCGGCACAGCAGAAGCAGTGGTCGGTTCCGAGGGTGGAAATGAGGGAGTACTTCAAGAGAGAAGACACAGATGAGCCCAGTCCTTTCTCTCTTTTTTAAGACAAATGGGATCAACCCACATGTCCTATTTTAAAACTTAATTTCTAATGTAATAATATATCTTGTATGTCTTTTGTGTTAGTATATATAGATATTATTTATTCATTTTAGTGGCTGTAATCCATTGATTCCATTTATGTAGAATAACTTAAAACTATTATAATATATATTCAATAAGTCTGCATGTTATATTTAGTCCTCTGTTGATGGATATTGCGCTGTTTCCAGTACTTCCTGATACATACAGTACTGTTAAATATAACACACACACATACTTGCATTAGGACCTCTGTGAAATAAATTCTTAGATGTATACTTCCAAGCTTTAAATAGATATTGTCAAATTACCCTCTGAAAATATTGTGTAAAAATGCTTTTTGCATCTTTCCAGAAATGGGAACTGTCAGTCTTTCAAAACTGCCAAATTAATAAGTATATTACATTATTGCTTTGTTTCAAATTTCTTCAGGTATTAGTGAAGATGAGTATCTTTTCATGGCTGTGATGTGTGTGTGTGTGTGATGTGTGTGTGCATGCACACAAATTCACTGCTGTCAGTGTCGGGGATTTTACCTGTGCAAGCTAATCAGTTTGCCTGTCAGTGTTCCGTGGATGCTGGCAGAAGACGTAAGACTCTCAGGTGAGAAACAACAAACATTGTTGCTCGAAGGCTGCATGAGCATCATGTTTGCATTGGTTTCTCTTGTCCCCAAGTCAATGGCAGAAGGCCACCCAGGAGGATGTTATGCATGGAGTAGATATGTGACAGTGAGGAACACAGAGCTTCTCGAATCCATCTCTTTTAGAGCACACCTGCTCTTTGTCCTCGGGAGAACCTTCTTCACCCCTCAAGGTTGCTCTCTGCAAACCTCTCAGCTCCCAGGGCCTGGCGTCTTTGCATACCTAGTAAGAACATGCAGGGACACTCAAGGTCTGTGGCTAACAGCCTCTTCCAACAACTCTCTTTGCTTATTTTTCTATATGCTTGCTTTTCATTTTCTTACTGATTTATAAGAGCTCTCTGCTATCACAATTATTCCTACATATATCATTGACTATTTTTGTATCTTATTCTACTTTATTTTATTTAATTTGATTTTATCAATTATGGTTTTTGGGGTTTTTTTACACCCATGAATTTCATGACACACATGGAAAAGGATGCCCCATTATGATAAAAACATCAACTGATGTTTTTTCTCTTAATCTTTCAGTTTTCAGCCTTCAACATTTTGATCCTTTTGGAATTTACTTCCTCTTTTGTTTTTTTTTATTTTTTATTGTATCTTTTCCATTACCATTTTAACCCCCTTATAACCTCCTCCCCCACTGCAAATACCACATTGTTGCCCATGTCCATGATTCCTTTTTCCTTTTCGCTCAATCCCTCTGCTCTCTACCCGCCCCCCCCGTAGCTGTCGTCCTGCTCTCTATCTATGTGTCTGCCTCTATTTTGCTTACTAGTTTAGTTTGTTCATCCAGGAATGATAATAGGGACCCACTCTGGTTTTACCAAATGGCTAGCCAGTTCTTGCAGCCTCATTTCCCATCTTTTCCCTACTTGTTTGAGATGGCATCTTTATTACATATTAAAGTTTATCTGTACTTTTATCATATACTATTTTGTATTCTATTCTTTTAATCTATTTGGATGTTACCACTCCAACTTCATTTTGAATTACTGTGGTCTTATGCTACATTTAACACTTGCTTGGTCTTGTTCCCCATTGTTTCTCGCATTTAAAAACTTCCTTGGCTGTTTTCACATCTTATTCTTGAATGAGTCTTTTAAAATAAAATACGTAACCAACTTGAATGTAAGTATTTATTCCAGAGAAATTGTAAACTATTGTCTTCCACCTTATTCCTTTTTAAAAGTCTTATTAATGTTGTAACTTTTATGAAGGTTTAATTTGCATTTTAACAAACATAGAAGCTAGTTTTTATTTGCACCCTGTAAAATCTTTTTTATTTATTATAGATTCCTTGCAGTCTGGAATACTGGGATGAACTCCAGAAGGTTTTTGTTGCATTTCAAGAATTTAGCCTGTCTGAAAGCAAAGTTTGTGAGCTGCAGTTGCCAGATATCAATCTTGTGAATGACCAGAAGAAACTGGTATCCTCTGATCTGTGGAGAATTGTCTTAAACAGCAGTCAAAATGGAGCTGATGACCAAAGGTAACTTCATGAAAAACGGGATAGTAGCGTTGTGTTAGAAAGCAATCTCGGGTCATCTTATCTGGCACCCCCTCACTTAGCTGTATCTCAGCTGGCTGGCAGCTGCCTCTGTCCCAACTGCAGATGAGAACCAGGAAGCAAGATAGAAGCTGGTGTTCTGAAGTCTGTGTACTAAAAATTCTGTGTTTTACTCATAATAAACCCTCACTAAGAACCTCTAAGACAGACCTCCAGACATTAGAAAAACTTGGCTAACTAAAATAACATATCTAAAGGATTTCAATTAGCTAAACTTTTATTTAGTTGTAGGGTCTGTTTTACCATAATGGATCTCTAGGCTGTTGACTTCAGGTATTCTGAATCACGTCCCCAGAACTTCCTGTTCCACACCTCCTACAGGGTATCGGGTTAGTGGCAACAAAGGGCCACATCGTCCCTTTTTCCAGTGTTTGCTTAAGATTGGTACATCCACAAACTGGGAGTGGAGAAAAAATGGCTTCAGCAACCTGTTTGTCAGCATTTTCTGTTCACGCTCCCACAAAAGAATCAGGTGACTGCAATGCACTCAGTGACACAGTTTTCTCGGCTCATGTGCTCGTTCTTGTGCGTACTCTGGGCCTGTGCCCTGCTGCTGCCCCTCGTGTTCAGGCTCCAGCCTTCCAGTTCTCCTGATGAGTCGGCTTTGGCATTATCTTAGTCCTTTTATATAATTGCTCCTTTTCTCCCCCAAACAACATCTGACACTAAGAGAAAAAGCATCCACCACCCTGAAAATCAGCTGTTATTTTCTGTGTTACCTTTATTTTTGCCCAGTATTATATGCTGTTACAAGGTTATAATCATAGCACATCATTTGGTATTCTGACTCCTACTTTATATTATGTATACACAAGTGGTTGTGAATGCTTTCTCTCTTTTTTATTAATAGTAATATATGTGTATTGAAGAACATTTGAAAAGAAAATGTACCATACCTAATTACATCACAGCGAAAGAACCTGTTAACATTTTAGACTGTAGCCTCACAGTCTTTTTAATTGATTACTTCGTATGCATAAAAATAATATGTGTCATACTTCATATATTCTGTTGCTAGATCATTTGGGCTCTTCAAAAATAATTACATTCTAGGCATGGTTCTATTAATATAAAGTTAGTAAAAATGTATTAGAGGAGTGGGATCTTGGTTTTATCTGTATGTAATGCAGCAATGAAAAGAATACCCATCCTGTGAAAATTAGCAGATGGATAGAAAGTGTGCCTAATGTAAGTATAGGTCACCTAGGTAGAACCAGGAAACCTCAGAAAATAGAACTATGGGTAATGAAATTTAGGGTATTGACTACATCTCTGTGTCATGGTGCTCTCTTCATATCTCCCAGTGAAACCTGGGAGATATGTTCTGTCTCTCTATATATATATTTTAATAATATATTTTATAATATATATGTTTAAAGTATATATATATATATACACACACATATATATGTATATATTTTTATAATACATAAATATTAATACGTACATAAATACATAAATACATAATACGTACATAAATACATAAATACATAATACATAAAAATATATATATATATATATTTTTTTAAGACTTATATGAAGGAGTTCTTTACCTGAGGGCTCTTTTAAGGGTGTTTTTAAGCCACAGATTGCAGCCCATTAGTGGGTCATGAAATCAGTTTATCCGGTTGCAACAGGAATTTTTTAATAAAATAGAAAATATCACTGTGAAAAAGACAAATGTTGTATAATTACACTTATATGAGATACCAAGAATAGTCAAATTTATACAGACAGATAGGGTGGGGGTTGCCGGGGAACGAAGAAGGCAGTGCTTCATGGCTGCAGGGTTAGTTCCCATTGGGCAAGATGGAGAATTTCCGCCCGGAGCTGGACGATGGGACAGCTGCACGACAGTGCGAAGGCAGGGACTGCCCCGGAGCTGTATAGTTCCAACAGTTAAAACAGTCAGTTTATGTTATGTATATTTTACCACAATTTTTAAAGTTTCAGATTTTGTCATGTTTTCAGTAAGTCTCTCCTGTCACCTCCTTCACTGTAAGATGTACTAGGCTACAATAATCTTATTGATTCAAAATATTGTTACAGTATATTGTGATTGTATATACCATATTATTTTCTGTTTAAGAAACTTTAATTTTGATATGACTCAAATTTTTAAATGAAAGTCTGAATTTTTAAATGTAGATTAACTTCATGACCATTTTAGTCATAATTGCAAGATTTTTAAAGATTAAGTAAGATAGTGCTGGCCGCTACAGTATGCTAGGAGTCACTATACTCTTAAATACCTAAAAATATCTCTCTAACCATTGATTTGTGCATTAATTTAGGAAAAGTGAAGGATTAATTGATTTGTTTTAGGTAAAAACTTGGGCATATACTCACAATGTTTTAGCAGTTTTTTTCAATATGTTTTAGTATCTGCTACTCTTCAGAGATAGAAAAAAATCATGGAAAATATCAAGTATCAAAAATTGTAGTTGACAAAAAAATGCCTCAGATAAACCTCAAATTGTATATTCACTGTTTCTCATAGAACTCTCACCTGGATTTTTAATGAAACGTTTACTAACATTGTACCCTACTTTTAACAACTTCTTAACACGGCATATGGAAATGAGCCCATATGGGTACAGCACATACAAATAATACATTTTGCTTTCTCTGAATAAATATGGTTTAATTTTACCTTGCCAATAAAATATTTTATTTGAAACTCTACAGATAAATTTCTAGAAAGCTATTTGGATTAGTATGCCCATTTATAGGAAGTGTTAAGAATGTACTTAACTGGATTTTTGCACATAACATGTAGTCGATAGCATAGATTCCCCGGAGTGTGTTTTCTTTGTATGCAGTGGAGATTCGCTAACATTGCACTAAATACCAACACATAACTATTACCTCCTTGGAGCTAAACACTCAGTACAACTGATGGAATGCTCCTTTCTTTTCTTTTAATTTTGGGGGGGGTGGATATATGCAGTTTTGAAGCTCAGTCATGACACTTCCAGGGAGTTCTGCGGTCATCTCCCCTTCCCATTTGATAGGAGAGGATGTGTAAGGGCCTGTTTGGCCTGGCTGGACTCTCCCGCCGCCCTGCCGCACGAACAGCACATGACATGCAGGCAGCTGCAGTGTTGAGCCCATGACACTCCTGAGACACTTGAGTGTTTATCCACTCAGTAGGTCAAAAGTCTGCAGACTTTTGGAGCAGCAGGAAGCCACCAAACTGCCAGGTGTCCTCCCTGGTGCAGCCACACCATCAAAATCTCTCTCAAGGGAAAGAGCTTGGGATAGTCAGTGGTACATGTGGGCTTACGACACCCATGACAGTGCCCAGGGAACAGTGCGCAGCTCCAGGAGGTTTCTGGGTAATGAGATGAGAGACAGAGAGCCTTTCAGATCTTTCAGACAGCCATGGTAGGCGCGATCCTGACTCCGCAGGGCCAGCTCTGGTGGAGGCAGGATGTGGTCATTCTCTGTCCCTATGGCCTTCACCTCAGAAGAAAATGGTTAGTTGCCCTGATGAAAAGGAAAGCAGTTTTACCTTGAAACTTGGATGACAGCACCGCAGCCACTGCCCCTGAGGACTTTATTGTACAGATGGGATGCTCAGCCCTTCTGGTGAATGCTGTCATCCACGTACACATAGCGTAGTTCTCAAGACTGACCCAAAACAAGTGGCAAAAAATGCAAGACAGTTTCCAGCCACGGAGAGCTCATTGAGGCTGGTGCAGCACACACCGCCATCAACTTCGGTCCATGGCGAGGTTCTACAGAGAAAGGCACCAGTGAGGCCTCTCGAGTCAGGTTAGCAAACCATGGTAGTCGTGTCTAGCGTCTGCAGCTCCTTCAATTGCCAACCTCTGGAGGTAAGAATCACAGTTGCCTGTTAGCTAATGGACGATGATGTAAAGCTCTCAGATAACCGGTTTCTGAGCAAACAATTTCTAAGGCATTGCCACTAAGATCTAAACACTGAAGTTTTACAAGGGACCCAATGACTTCCAGAACCACAATTTTATTTGAATGAAGATACAGTTCCACCAGGTTTGGAAGCATCTGAGCAAGGTTGTGAGTGAGTTCCTTTGCATATAGAGTCTCTCCAAGTACTATAGTCCCTCATCTTTCAGGAACTGCCATGGGAAGTGGTGCAGATTCCTGTAAGTGAAGAACACATCCTTGGCCTCTTCCAGCCTTGCCACAGAGATGGTCTTACAGAGTGCAGATGCCATGGCTGAGCAGATCCCAGCAGGCGCAGCGCAGCACTACATCTTGTCAAAACTGGCCCACTTCTCGGCGCCAGCAGAGCCGGGGCTCCGGGACGCAGGCTGCGCTGGCCAGCAAGTCGAGCTCCTCGCTTTCATTTTCACCGGCTTTTTCACAACCGCTCTCAGAACTCAGCTGAAGATTCACACTCTGAGAATCCCACATGACTCACCCCACACCATTCTGAGTTCCTCTTATGTTTCCACTCTGGCAGCACTTCTGACTTTCCTATTCCTGGGTGGTTGTTCTGTTTTGTAATGTTTCTACATGTCTACATATTTTATATCACCAGTTAGACTGTGAGTTCTTTGAAAACCAGAGATTTATTTCTTTAGTTTTTCCTGTCATAGTTCTCCCTAAGATACTGTAAATCACAGTGTTGCTTCTCTAGGCTCTTTGTGGATTTGGGAGCCAGGCTACCATAACTGAAGAGCAAATTTTAGATTTGTAAAGAAAGGGGTGGAAGATGGGGAAGGGGAACAGGGCAGCATCATCTCGGTGTCCATAAGGCGCAGGATGCACTGCGCTCCCTCCCAAGCCCCGGGTCCCATGCTTCTGCTGGCACTGGGGCGAGGCAACTAGGCAGCCACCACAGGCACACACCTCCCCTCCTACAGGTGCCCTCAGTGTTCCTTTGAACTAGAGTTTATCTGTATAAAATGGTGTTAAGAAGATGGGCAAGTGAGAAGAAGACCCATGCAGTGTAATTATCCATGGACCTTTGTTCTGGACGTGGTCATGACTTTGATGGCACTTACTACAGTATTCAGTTGGTGTCCGATAAAGAGTACAGATTAATTCATGTGGGAATATGGATGTGGACAATCTGGAGAGGTCAAACAAGAGTGAAACATTTATGGTAACACTGGAAGTATTGGGTTTTCTGAACAACAGAGTCATGCTCTGAATATTGTTGGTCTTAAACTAATGTGAGAACAAACTGTTCTGAAGTTTTGTGAGATGTGGATGGAACAAAACTGGATCACAGGTAGGTCAGTGCATCCTGGAGTTTGAGGAATTCTTTGAAATTTTTCAGCTAATAGCTCAGGGTATAATCAACAAGAAGTTAATGTTTAAAAACTACTAGTTTATGTAAGTAAATACAAAAGATTTGATAACATATTGACTATAGGGTTATGGGTGCTGCCTTTAAACACCCTTGCAGAAAGACATTTCACTTATGTGATAGTTGGGAAATTTAGGTTATTGAACTTCTTTTATTTCTTATTTCCTATAGTTGTGCAAGTGAGTCTGGCTCTCAAAGCACTTGTGACCAACTTGTAACGCCCACAGCCCTGGCTGCCTGTACCAGAGTGGACTCCTGCTTTACCCCGTGGTTTGTCCCATCCCTCTGCATTTCCTTCCAGTTCGCTCACCTGGAGCTCCATCTCTGTCATCACTTGGACCAACTAGGCACAGGTGCTCTTTACTTTAACATCGGAATAGCATCCACATAACTGACTGTTTTATCTTGTGTGCTTTCAAGACACTGCTCACCTATTTTTATCCAGATCATTTATTTTCAGGAAGTAGAAAGACTTGGAGGGGTTTCCATTCTGTGTACTACAGTGGGAGTGATGTTTCAAAGTGCTGTGACTGCTAATCCCTCCCCGACCCAAAGGTCCCTTTCTACTGACCGACACCCACGTGCTGGTGGGAATTTTTAGAAGCAGCATTCATTTCCCTTAACTGTGAGCACTGGAAGAGTTATTCTGAAGTTAATTTCCTATAACAGGTGTGCCCCTTACTTTTGAACCATCTTATGGACCTATTATATAGGTTACTAAATTGTATTGAACTGACATGATTTTGCATGCTTCCAATAGAGATTTTCAGGGAATTACAAAAATTGCAAGTTTTACTGTTACGCAGATTATGATCTTTTTGAAAGAAATACATCTGTTTTTGTTCTATACCCTGAGCCATTACATTAATGGCAAATAGAGTCTAAAAATACTTGATATCACCTGATTTTAAAAGCATGAATACTTTCTGCAAAAGATGGGTAAATTCTCTAATAATTTTTACAAGTTTCTGCAGTCAGAGATTACATTTTCCCTCACCCCAAAAATGGCCTTTTATAGATGTGTTAATGTTACATGAATAATTATTCCTAAAAGTCTTTACTAAACATTTCTTAGTCAATACATTTTGACTCAAGCATTAGGTTTTTTACCTACATGCAATGGAAAAAATGAAAAAAAATCAGATTAAAACTAAACACAGCTACTGTTAAATATTTTGCCTTTTCAACAAAAATGGAATTTAACCTGATGTTTCTAACTCCCTTTGAGTCATGGTTTTGTTTTTGAAATTGAGTGGGTAGATACAGAGTGCATCTAAAAGCCTCTCCTTAGAAGTTATGTCCTATTCGTGTCATTTGTTGTCTTTGTGGTCAAATGTTTGTGAAACTGAATGTAACCTTTGGACGGTATGTATTTAAGAGACCTGCTGATTGAAAAAAACAGTTGTGCTTGTAAATATCAAATAATAATTCAAGTACTGTAATATTTTCAGAAGAATGTTTAAATTTATTAAACATCAGATATTGAATTCAGTGGCCAAAAGGGGGAATAATTTACATGTCATCTCTGTATTTCCATAAAGCATTGGCTCATCTCCATTGCTCTTTTTCTTGTTTGTTTTCCCAACAGCTCCACCACCAAACCTACAGCCATTTGTTTCTGATAAAAATGTGCCATCTGAACTAGAATACATGGTTGTTTCCTTCAGAGAACCGCACTTGTATCTTCGACAGTGGGACAACAGTTCCGTCTGCCGGGAGATTCAGTTCTCAGCTCAGGCGGACTGTAAACTTCTGGAGTGCAGAAACGTTACGATGCAAAGCCTGGTGAAACCCTTCAGCATCTTCGGACAGATTGCGGTGTCCAGTGATGCAGCAGAAAAGCTGCTCGACTGCACCATCGTGGTCGATTCCATATTTGTAAACTTCGGGCAACACGCGATTCATTCTCTGAACACTGCGGTACAAGCTTGGCAACAGGTATGCAGACCCTAGAACAGTTTACAGCTGTCCACGTAGGATCCTTTCCTAGATACTCCGTGTTACCACCTCCAGTAATAAGCACAAACCCAAATGTGAGAAAGTGAGAATTTGATGGGCACCATAATATTTGGGCCCTTACCCGTTTTGACAAAGAAATACATGTTATTTTTAAAAACTTCAGAGAACGGCGGCTCTCTGCATATGCATAGGAGATAATGCCCACATTTTTGTGACTAATGTGCCACATCTGTGTGGAAAGTAACATGTTCCCAGAAATTTTTTCCAAGTTTTGTGGTTTTAGTTGGCCAAAGCTTCCACTGAGCTATGTATCACAGTGTCTGCTCATCCCGTTCAGACATGAAGAGCCTGCGTGAGCCCTTCTGAGGGTAAGCATCCCCTCTTTTCAAAGAGAAAAGGCAGGGAGGGGAAATGTGTGGGCACAAGATGGTCTTAGTCTTTCCCTGCTCTCATTCTGCCATTTTGAATCAGTAAAAAGCACTTCACAATGGCTTTTAATTTCACAGAAAGTTTGGTAATAATATGCTCTGTGGTTTAAGAACAAATCATTTACACTTCTCTTACTGATATTCAATATAATAGTGTGTTTCCATAAAGTCCGTGTTGCTGCTTAAGCTGAGGCGCTTCCCCATGTATGTATATTACAAGCATTTGTGCGGAGCTGGCTCCCCAAGAAAAATGGCCCCTCATCCCTCACTGACCTCATGTGGGAACAGGAGCAGTGTGGGGGAGGCCGGGGGAGCTTGAGTTCTCTGATGTAAGAATTTTTATGGGAATAAACTTTTCTTTATATGCATGAAGACCTATACAAGACTAAGGAATTAATTACCCAACATGGCACTCCAACAGCAAAGGGAAAGAAGATAACACATCTGTTTTATATTTTAAAATTCCTTTTTAAGGGCATTCCATGGTTTTCTTGTTGCAAAGGACATGCGTAAAATAAGAGCTAGTGTGATCTAAATCTTTGCAGCTGGTTTGAATAGCAATGTGAAAAAAACCTTCGTGGCTCCAATTTCTGTTTTTTGTCATATTTTGAACAATGCATTTAATAAAAAACAAACCTAGAAAATATAAAAGAGTCATTGATAGAAGATTTAAACCCAGGATATTTTTGTCATGGTATCAGGGCCATTATACGAGGACTTGTGTGTAGCAACTACTGCAAAATGGCCTTTAGAAATACCAGTTTCCTCCCAGGGTAAAAAATATTCTCTTAGACACAGCTATACATATAAATAAAATGCAGTGCATAAATATTTAAATGTTTTAAACCACATCAGAGTGTGAATGACTGGCTAACACAGTGTGCCTTGAAGGAATATTCTGAGTTGTTTTTTTTTTAAAATGGAATTGTATATTTGATTAAGTAGAGCCATATGTCACGTAGCATATTGCTGACAGGTACATTCTATGAATAGTTGGTTCTGATTTATACAGGGATTTGGCAATGTTAACATGAGCCACAAGAGGATATACTTCTGTAATTGTTGCTGTAATTTTCTTGTTTCCTCCCATGTCAAGAGTACTTGCCACCAAGTTTTAATGTGGTAGGCATCTAACCCTGTGTATTCTAAAGTAAATACAAAAATGCACAACTTGGAAATTATAGGACATTTGACATTGAAATGGGCTTATAAAGGGTTATTAAGTTCATTGTTTCTAAAATATTCTGAATGTGGTTTATCCCCTTTAGAGGGGAAGCTTAGTTTCCCAACTTTGATTTTATTGTGTGTATAATGATGTATACAGTATAATTGTTGCCAATGAGAAATATGAATTTAATGAGCAAGATATGTTATTTGAGTTCTCCACATACTTTTTATCAGATTCATATCTGAGACAAGTCATTTGTATCCAGTGTAGATGGACCAGACAGATGAAGCATGAAACAATTTGGCCTTTCACCTTTAGGTCACAAGTTCAAGATTAACAGAAGTCTTCATTAGTGTCTGATTTCTCTGGCTGTAGATTTTTTTTTTTTTTTTTGTGAATGATTAATGCTTTGTGAAACCAGCTTAAAGATCCAGAATGCCATTTGAAGTTTGCTCTTTATTTTTATGTCACATTCCCACATTTGGACAAAGCAGCATTTAAAGGGGATTTTTATTTTAAAATCAAGGTTATGCTCATGTGTCTTAATCTTACACCGAAATGATATCTCTTTAATTTGCAAATGTCTCCCCAACACTCCACGCAGATCTTAAATGCAAGTAATACACCTTTTAATTACACATCTGAGTGAGCATTCTGAGGGCTGGCCTACATGATGTCATATAAAATGGGTACAATCTTTTTATACCAGAATTTAAAACAGTCCAAGAAATGCTTAACTTGTTACAGTTATAATGAACTCCACAGATGAAGGAGCAGCAGAGAAACAGTTCCCTGAGGACTTGGAGTATTCTTTAGAAAAATGTAAACAGCCCCCTTGTGTTCTTTCATTTACATTTTTTCCTAAAACCCTCATCATTTATTAAAGGTCAGTTCTTAGAGATGAGGGAAGTAATAGGATCTTTTTTTTGTACTCAGGCCCATCTGGTAACTTAACCTCTGTGTTACCAGCACAGTGATCCCAGTTCATTATGAAAACCGAATTTCCATCTCGGGGGTCTATCTAAGTGGGAGTTTGAAATCATATCCCTTTCTTCGTGTTTGTACTCTTGGACCTAAAGGAGAGAAAAATGTTTACAAAGAGAGCATTTTGTGTTGATTATATAATGCTAAGTGGAAAACTCATCAAAACTAATTACACGCTGCGACTCCCACTTGATCACAAACTTTTGTGTGAGACGTGCACGGCAGGGCTGGACGGGGCAGCCTGGAACGGGAGCTGGCAGGGCGGACACCCAGAGGAGAGAAACTGCTGGGAGAAAATTCACCAAAATGTCCATAGCAGTTAGCTCTGAGTGTGAAATTAGAGACTTTCAAAAACAAAAACACAATCCATACTTCCTGTATTTTCTAACTTTTCTACTGCGAACGTTTATTTTTTTTATAACTTTAAAAGTGTATTTGTTTCATAAGTTTTTATTGAGTATTTATGTGTCAGGCATTATGCTGAGTATTGAGGGTAAATTTATAAATAACGCAGACCTGGTTCCTGCCCTTTGCAGCACGGAGTCTATGATGGAGGCATTGTGGAACCCAAAATCATACACATCATCACTTAGTCCCAATAGGGCTAAATTCTATGAACTATAGAGCATTATGTGAGCATAAAAGAAGGGGACCTAATCTCATCTGGGGAGAATCTCAGGAGACTATTCCAAGGAGGTAGCCTGAAAACAGGGACCTGAAGGCTGAGTAGAAAGTTTGTCAGGCAAAGATGAAAAGATACGTAGGCAGAGGAAAGGCACCGAGGTCAGAAGGAGTTGGCCGTGTTGGATGGATGGACGCGGTGGGGGGTGGGGGCAGGAGGAGCCAGCAGAGCTGGGGTGCAGTGAGCCGATGGAGAGTAGCTCAAGATGTGGCAGGGCTGGGACAGCTCAGGCCTGCTGGCAGTCAGGTTTTGAAATCACAGCTCATGATTAGAAGCCACAGCAGAGAGTGTTACGGTAGACAACAGGTAATTGTTGGCTTTAATTAGTCTGGTCTTACCTAGCCAGGAACTCTTCGTGGTTAGTGTGGCTGTCTACCAGGGTTCTGCTCTGTGAGAATAGAGGTTTGGTGGGAATAGATGGATAGAACGAGGGGCTTAGAGGTCCTCAGAGACATCTGGAAGAAAGATATTCCAGGGCCTCTACACCCCCTGCAGCCATAGAGCACTGTCCACCCACTCTGGGGAGCTTCTGGATGGGTAGGAATGGATTCTACCTCCCAAGATAAGGCGCCAAGTCCAGTCGTGGTCCAGGCCAGACTCGGGCACATTTGCCCATAGACTGCTTGGCTTCAGGCCGCCTAATCACTTAGATAACTGTGCTTCTGAGCAGTATATCCTCTTTTACTCTCCCCCTCATCAGTAAAGAGGCAAATGACGGAGAGTGGCATTGTGACATTATTCATATCCACAGCCAAGAAATAGAGGCTAACTGGAGAAGCACATTACCTCCCATTGTCTGCAAATTGATTGGCTAATTTAGACTTTTTTTCCTTGCATTCTCAAGGTAGTCATGTATTTAGCTATTTTTTTAAATTTATGAAAAGTATATTTATTGTTTATGAAGCCATAACCTAACCAGAGTGATAAAAGAATAAGAACAGAAATTCTCTATCACATTGCCAATGTTCTGGGATAACAGCAACCAGCGGAGACACCAGCAAGTTGGAAAGGGGGTATCAACACTGGACCATATTATTGATTTGTTGAGCCTTAGTAGGTTAGTGGAAGGCCTTAGCTGATTGAAGACGATTAGCTGAAACAGACCAACACCTGTTTTTCAGCTAACATTGTTTCTCTTGAAAACTGCAACTTGGCTTACCCTGACTCTGGAGTAGGTCTGTTTTGTGTGTTCAGCCTCTGAACAATAGAGGGAAAGTCATGGTTTTATTTACATCTCTCCCTGAGCACATTTACACACACACACACACTCCCTCCCCCTTAAGGGATCTGGGGATGTATTACCTAAAAGATCCTTACTTTCCGTAGGGTACAAACTGTGGCTTTGTAATTGGTCTTGATTGTCGAGTGTGGAAGGCCAGGACACGGTAATTCTAGCCTCCAGTACTCCGCTCAAAAACGTGCGCTACCCAGTACAGCATTCTTGCTAGGATGTTAATTCATTTTAAAATGTTAAAAGTTTGAGGGGTCTCATTGTTTTTTTACTCTTCTGAGTCTATGATTTATTTTGCAGAAGTATAAATCAAAACATATTTTTGGAACATTTAAGATCTCTTTAAGGTATTTTTTTTTGTGCTTACCCTGGAAGTATAGAATACTTTGTATACAAGAGCTAATGACAGCAGATCTTTTAGTGTTTCTGTGTTGTAACAATCGCCACTGGGCAGACAGCTGCCAAACATCTTGCAATTAATCTGATGCACGTTGGCTTTCGTACTCTTTTTCTTTCAGAACGAATGCCCGGAGGTAGAAGAGCTGGTCTTCAGCCACTTTGTGATCTGTAATGACACACAGGAGACACTGCGGTTTGGCCAGGTGGACACTGATGAAAATGTTCTGCTGGCGAGTCTCCACCGTCACCAGTACAGCTGGCGCTCGCACAAATCCCCACAGGTATTTGAGAAACAGCCTCACAAACACGTCAACTGCTAAGATTGGGGGTTCATTTATTCTGCATTTGTATGTCTGTGTCCAGTTACTTCCCTTTTTAAGTCTCCCAAGGAAGCATATGGTGTAGCTACCTCTGATGGAGATGCAGAAGCACTGGGAGAGGAGCCCATTGCCCCGTGCTGCTCGTGGAGAGGAGCTGTCTCCCGTCAGCAGGGCTGCCATGGGGGCAGCGGGGCGGCGGTCAGGAGGTTGACCTCTAGAGCCATCGCACGTGGGTCTGGATCCTGACTCTGTGTCTTCTTGCTTTACTTTCCACCCTTCAGCTTCCTCATGTGTAAAACAGGGATAATAACAGTACCTATCTCACAGGGTTGTGAGGACTAAATAAATATGTATAAGGCCCTGGAACACTGCTTGCCAAGCTGTAAGCATTGTGTGTTGGGTATTTTTACTCATTTGTTTATTCAGATTTTTACCATGTGCCAAGCATGTGCTAGGCGCTGGGAATTCAAAGATAGTCCTTGCCCTCCGAGGCACAGCTCACGGTCTGTGACGAAGTGAGCACGATGACAAAGTGTGTCCTAGGGAGCACTGAGAGAAGACATATCCAAGGATGTGTCTTTTCCAAGCAGTATAATCCTGTTTTTCCCGTCACGTTAGATGGGATAATGAGAGGGATGTGCCCCACGGGGATAACATGAGGATGAATTAAGTAGGAAGATGTGGTGGTCTTAACTGACTAAAAGAAGCCCTAGGAAGAACTCTCAAGAATAATGTATTTCTAAAACTCTGCGTAATAAGGAAACTACTGTCTGCTTGTGATTAAAAGAAAGTCATTAAATTAGAGAACAAGTTTTCCCATCTGGGGAAAGCTTCTAGAGACCAGCTTCAGAATGTGCTGCACCCTCAGGCTCCCACTTGTCTTTTTGTTTTTCTGGTAGCTAGACTCTGATTTCTTCCTTGCTTTTCATTATATAGCCACACTATTGGTATGAAATGTGGAAAAGTAGATACAGTACAATTCTTAAGATATTATTTATCTAGTTCTAGTTAACTTGACAGGACATTAAAACTTCAGAAATCCTTTTTAGTAAAAGTTCTTACAAATATTTCTCATGTTATAATATTGCACTCATAATTTTAGAGTGATGTGCCCTTATTTTTACATTGTTCCCTTGAGAAATTTCCATGTTAGAGAGTTTTTTATTTATTTATTTTAGAGATACAGACATCAATTTGTTGTTCCACTTATTGAGGCATTTATTGATTGATTCTTACATGTGCCCTGACCAGAGATAGAACCCACAACCTTGAAATACTGGGACCATCCTCTAACCAACTGAGCTACCCAGCCAGAACGAAGAGTTTTTAAGTCATTTGTTTGTTTGCCTCTTATAACGTTCTTAAAGGGTGTTTTGTTTATTTGTTTCAAAATTAAGGGGTTTTTTGTTATTTTGTTTATCAGTTGCAAAAGTGAGAATATACGATATAGAGACCAAATTTTAAAATTACCATTTATAATTCCAACCATCAGTGACAACCCAGGTTAACACTTGTTGTATAGCCTTTTAGATTTTTGAAAGGTTTCCATGGTAATTGCATTCCCAGCAGTGAACTAGCAGTGGCAGGTAAGAGCCCTCTGAGGCGCTTCGGTGTGCATTATCGTGCACTGACTATGCCTGTAGCCTCTGCCCCTGTTCACACACAAGCTGCAGACTTCAGCCGACAGAAAGGCAAGCACAGGACGTTCACTTGCCCTCACAGTCATTTAAGATGTGTAGACTACCATAGCCTGAACGACCCTCGAAATCCCCTGGACACTGGTGCCAGCACGGGAAGGGTGACCATAAGAACAGCTGGTTCGGGGCTTGGGGGGAGGTAGGCTTCATGTTATGGACGGACAGTTTCTGGGTGGGAAAGGGCTCAGCAGGAAGAAATGGACAACCTGCCACCACTACGCCTTTCACATTAACACTTTTGCTCTTTTTCAAGGTCTTTTTATATCTATCACTAGTTTTGTTTTCACAATATCCCTGTGTGGTTTGTATTATTTGTTAGGTGTGTTTTTTAAACAAGGAGACAAGTAGAAATATTAAGCTAAGATAGTGATAGAGCTGGCATCCCCTATGTTTAAATTCTCAGTATAGTGTTATTTTCAAAATGTCGTCAAACTCACCGAGGTTTTGGCAGCACAATTTGCCTCTTAGTCTGGCCGAGCTGTGAGGCTTTAGGAGAAGGACTTTGAAATCACCAGTACCATACCCCACATTTGAAGCTAGATAATTCCATTGTTAGTCCAAGTAAGAACGCTTACAAAGCTTTGACCATAGTACCAAAAACAATAAGAACTTTTAATGACAAACTGGAGACAAAAGACAGGTGTCTATTAAAGTTTTCTTTCTAGTTTATAACTGCATCCTCTGAATACAGATTTTCAGATGAGCTAAGTTCTTTGTAATCTCAGTGTAAAATTAGATCAAATTAAAAAAAAAAAAAGGTGTCTCTTTACTACAGCTACATATGCTGAAGGAATCAGAACCGTCCGAAGCCAGGGCCCTTAATGGGCCCAGGGGGCCTTCATGGAATTCCTTACATCCATAATCACAAATTCTGCTGTGTTCTAATGAGAGGTTACATCTGAAGCTAGCCACTTAGCTTCAAACTGCACCTGAAGGTAGTCATAGACCCACAAGTGAGCAAACCTTTCCTTTTGCCAGACTCCAAGTCACATCCTGCATTGCCCAGCAGGCTTGGTTTTAGGAACATTTGTGTCTGCGTGTTTATGCTACCTTGGGTGTTAGTCAATTCATAGTCTCAGGGAGGATTTCGAAAGTTCACAGGACTTAACTCCACTAAACAATGCAGCTTAGATTGCAGAGATCAAGAAAGTGGCAATGACACCTGGAAAGGTTTCAAAGAGGTCAGCATATCTTAGAACCACACAGGAGGTTGCTAACAACAGTAAGTCCCAACAGGATGGGAAGAAACATGGACACAACCAATTCCAGAAATCCAGTGCTGAAAAACCTTTCAGAAATGAAAAGTTATAAACTCTCCTTATAGTTTCTAACACATGCTCTGAGGCAGAATCACTTAAAATGCTGGATAGCCTGCAACAGTTGCTTGCCTAAATAAACAAAGGAAGAACAAACTATTTCCTAGGGAATAATTGAACATGTTCAGCTGCGCAGTCATGTATGCCACCACAGAGGGCCCGTAAATATCCCAGTTCAGTAGGCTTCTGATCAGCTCATATGAGAACAATGACCAGCAAGGGATTGCTCTTCAGAAAAGCACTTCACATTATATAAAGTTGAATCTAAGGACTGGAAGTGTGAGTTTACGGAAACTTTCCCCAGAATGTGGGCAGTGTGTGCAGCTCAGAGTCAAGGGAAGCTTTGTTAGTTCATCCAAACTGAATATAGTGATACTTCCATCAATTAGTAGGATTTGTGTCTAGTCTGTTCAAGTTAAAGTCCTTTTCTAAGAGCTAACTGCTTAGAATAGATGTGCCTTTACCTTGTCTATAAAGAATTATGTTTGCTTTTACCCTATGACATGTACAATGCAATTTTTTTAGAATTGCCGTGTTCCGATTCTCAGTGACTTAATTTTAGTAATAGCAACATCAAGCTCTAGACAGAGCTAAAGAAAATAATAAAATATTGGAAGAGGGCATGGGGGCAATAAATGGTGATGGAAAAAAATAAAATTTAATTTTAGAAAAAGAATACAATATTAAAATGTTGCTCCAGAATGGATACAATGGAAAGTTTCATAAGGTCATGAAAAATGGCAGATAAATATTAAAAATGCAAAATATAACAAGGTAAGAATTAGTTTTAAAGAGCAGCAGAGCATTTGGGAAGCATTCATGAAAATAATCAGATTTAGTGAAGAAAATTTAAAGTGTGTGTTACTTTAAGGCAGAGGTTGGCAGCTGTTTTCTGTGTGGCTTTCAGGGCCTTACGGTCTGTGCTGCAGCTACTCAGCTCTGCACAAAGCAGCTGTAACGCATGAGCATGGTAGATTCCAATAAAACTTTATTTATAGACAATAAAATTTGAACTTCAGTAATTTTTACACATCACGAAATATTCTTTTGATTTTTTTTTCAAGCACTTAAAAATGTGAAAGCCATTTCTGGCACACAGGCTGTACACAAATGGGCGGAGCCCCGAATGTGGCCGGCCCACCGCAATCTGCCTGCCTGCCCCTGGTCTAGGTAAGGCCTGTCAGCTGACAGCACCCAGCAGACTGAAGGTTTGGTATTCAATTGTTTTCACTCTGATCTAAATGGTCTTCCTGTCACTTGAAACCTTGGTCAGATGTTTCAGAAACTAAGAAATGTCCAGCAATAGTTTATATCTAGCACATATAATCAACCTCTATTCACCACAGAACAGTAAAATATTTTTATTGTACTCACTCTGGGCCTGTGTAGACAACAAGTTCTCCCGTCTCTTTTTTTATGTAGAAGTATTTAAAAGTGAGATCTGATTATTCTTCTCTTATCTTAAGGTAAAATACCGTATTTTTCGGACTATAAGACACACTTTTTCTTTCTTTTTTTTTCCTTCCCCCAAATTTGGGAGGAATAATGGTTGTTAATGCTGCTCTTGAGTTCCATTTACATTTACACCGGTGAAATATTATTTATGTTATTAAATACTTTACCACATTTTTTGCTTCAAATTTTTTTTCCTGTTTTCCTTCTCTAAAATCTACATGTGTCCTAATGGTCTGAAAACTGAGTTTGAGTAGTATCAACCTATCTTCTGGTAATTATAGCCAGCAATTGCATTAACTAGATTATAACTCTTATTCAGTTACACTCTTTCTCTGTTCACTTCTGTAAGCATGTGTACTCATATATCTAGAGAAAGACATTCCTTGTTGCCACAGTCACAATTTAGAAAATTTAAAAGTAGATTAGGAAGGGAAGGAAATATTCTGTGTTGGCAGAACTGTTCAAACCAATAAATTTTTTCAAGTGTTTGCCT